AATGTATTTAATTATATTTTATTGTTTACCCTTATTCACATTGTTAATTTTTATAATTGGATAACTTTTATAAATATTTATCTCTGTTGATTATTCTGTAATCTACCCTCGTCAATAGTCTATAATACTTCAAGTGTCTGTATTTCAGATAATACAATAGATTGGCAATACAAACCCATTTGAGTCCCTCGAGTTGATCCAAAAGTCCTAGATTTCCGGGGGTCTCCTCATCATCGCCACCGTATAGGAAGCCCAATGAACCCAACCTGTAATCCACGGCCACATACACGACATCATAGGAGGCCAACGACTTGCCGTTATACATGTCTGAGAATATAGAGCCCCCTCTAAACCCTCCGCCATATATCCAAAACATAACAGGTTTTAAAGTTGTGATGTTATGGGGCGCCCATATGTTGACGTATAGACAGTTTTCAGAGGTGGGCTGATCCCCACCCAAACAAGAAGTCTTCTTTTTGGTCGCATCGATGATATCCTAAAAATATTTTGTGTTTATTATACAAAATAAATGAAAAGTTTGTTTGAGTTTATGTTTGAGTCGATTACTTACGGGTGAAGGCTTTGTAATAGGCTTTGGTTTGGCAAACCTCAGGGCACCGACCGGTGGCTCAGCGAACGGAATGCCATAAAATTGATTAAGTTCCTTACCAAGCTCAGTTATAGTCTGTCCCCTCACAGTACCGGAGCTGGTCTTGACGTCCACCGTCTCGGCGCCGATACCTAAGCACCGGACGCCTAACAAAACACTTAAACACAAGAATAACATTATTGTGTGTTTAGTTGGACACAAATATCTGTATTAAATGGTAAATACATTTGGCATTTATTTATATATTAAAAATTGGTGTGAAAATTGTCATAAGTTTTAGGAGCAAATCTTTCCGGTAGCAAATAAAGTACTCAAACGTATTTAATTTTTTTATTCATGCTAGATTAGAAATTATGTTGAGTGTATGCGAACCAGTAACTGAACAAGTACACAAAAATAAGCTCCACTTTTGGAAAACAAAGTTATCAATGCTATAATAGTTGCGGTAATCAGTGCGAGCGAACCAAATATGAACTTGTTAACAATAGGTTTAAATAAAGATGTTCAAAAGTGATTACAGCGGTAGATAATGTATGAAATTGGAAAATATTTTGATTGCACTCATTCTTATAAATAGATTTTCACTTACATTATCTCAACTCGCCATAACAATTAGTACTGTATAGTAAAATTATAATATAACTAGATGTGTTTTCAGATTTTAATTGAATAGGTATTCGTACATAATTCTTTACATAAAACAGTATTAACAATAATTTAACATTAATACTATTTTTTAATACAGTTTCTCTTTTCAATCATTTCTACTCCCTTTCCCTTATTTACCGGATACTGTATATATAAATTTTATATAAATAAAAACAATTAGTCTAATCAATATACATGAGTTGCTTGGATACTGTTTATTGTTTTATCAAAACATTTGCTATTTCTACTCCCTTTCCCTTATTTACCGGATACTGTATATATAAATTTTATATAAATAAAAACAATTAGTCTAATCAATATACATGAGTTGCTTGGATACTGTTTATTGTTTTATCAAAACATTTGCTTCAGAAATCGTTGAAGAGTTAGAAACTAAGCTTTCATTGCATTCATTGACAATGTCTTCAATCAAATGTCTGATTATATCAGTGAAGACATTGAGACCAGAAGTGAGGGACTATTGGCTGGAAGTGAGCGCTGATGTGAGCACTGTATCCGATCTGAAGTCCACTGTTTTGGACACAAATGGCTTTATATTGAGTGCCGAAGACATTGACCTCTATTTGGATGGAGTGGTACTCAGAGATGAGACACGAGTTAATAGTAATGTGTTTACCGATAGAGATAGCATTGAAGTCAAAGGGAAAAGGGGTCCACAAGTGGTGGACACCTGTACTTCAATCAGTGGTCAGAAATACTACAACTCTATATATCCGTGAGTTTTATACATCAATATAATTATGAATGATGAATAATTATAATGTAGTGATATTGGGTGTCCCATCGTATCAGTACGACTTGTAAATTAAATTAAAAATATTTACAATTATATTTTACTAACAAAAACTATACCAAAATGTTGGAAATTTATTAAAATTTTATGTGAGATTCATAA